TTACATTGAATCTATAGATCAATTTGGAGAGAATTTACATCTTAATGTGAGTCTTCCAATCCATGAACACAATAACTCTCCATTTATTTAGATCTGAAATCTCTCTCAGAAATTTTTTGTGTCTTTCAGTGGATAAGTCTTCAAGTCTTGCACATCTTTTGTCAAATTTATCACTAAATATCATATTTGTTGATGTTATAAATTGTATGTGTATGTATATATATATATATTAATTTCAGTTGTGATTGTTAATATATGGAAACAATGCAATTTTATTTTTTGATCTTGTGTCTTGCAACTTTGCCACACTCATTGATTAGTTACAGAGAAGTTTTTAAATTGCAGATTTTATAGGATTTGCTACATAGGCAATTATGTTGTTTGCAATATGATAGTTTCTTTTTATTTTCAAATTTGGTTTCCTTTTCTTTTTACTCTTTTTGCCTCATTGATTGAACAGATCTTTCTTCTGTTTCTTTCTCTATTTCTTCTACTTCTGGCATTCCCATTATCTATATGTTACAATTTTGTAATTGTCACACAGTTACCAGATATTCTCTTCTTTTTTTCAGCCTTTTTTTTCTTTGCTTTCTAATCTTCAAGGATATATCTTTTAGCTCAGAGATTCTTCCCCCCGCCATATCCAGTCTACTAATGAGCCCATCAAAGGCATTCTTCATTTCTGATGCAGTGGTTTTTTTCTCTAGCAATCCTTTTTGGTTCTCTGCTTACATTACCCATCTGTTCTTGCATGCAGTCTCCTTTATCTATTAGAACCCTTAGGATATTAATCAGAGTTGTATTATATTCCCAGTCTGATAATTCGAACATCCCCACCATGTCTGGTTCTGATACTTGCTCTCTCTCTCTTCAAATTGTGATTTTTATTGCCTTTTGGTATGCCTTGTAATTTTTTCTTAATAAGCAGACACAATATTCTGAGTAATAAGAACAGCTGTGAATAGACCTTTGGTAATAAACTGGTGAAGTTCAGGGGGAGAGGAAGCAGTCTATAGTCTGATGCTCAGGTCTCCATCTTTTAGTGATCCTGTGCCTCTGGACTGTGAATTTCACAAATATTTTTGTTTATTTATTTTCTCATCCCTCAGGCAGAAGAGGATTGCTAGAGTGGGCTGGGGTGGGTTATTCCCCTTCCACTGGTCAGTTAGACTCTGATATCTCAGCAGGTTAGGCTGTAGTTAACTACTTTCCCCTAAGGCCAGACCTTGTTAAGAAGAACAAAGTGCTCTTGCCTATTTTAAAATGATTCCTTTTCCCCTTCTTGCACTGGAAGCAACAGGGGATTTTTCTCTGAAATTTACTTTGGGAAGCAGGTCGATTCCTGGAGGGGTATTTCAGAAAATTGTAATGACTCCCCATTAATGGGTCCCCTGGAGATTTTAACTCTCAAACTTGTGTGCACTGAACCTCCAGCCATTCATCAACTGCAGTTCAGGTTTTCCTGCCTGGCGTTGGTTCCTTCAGTGGTTTCTGCCTGTGACTCTGCTGCAGGGACAGCGACCCTGCATCTGCCCGTCTGGCTTTCTAGTCTTGGGCTCAGTGGTTTGCCTAGTGTCCTCCCTTCTCTTTTTTATGGATGCAAGAAGAGCTGTGAGTTTTCAGTCTGTTCAGGTTTTTACCTGTTGCCAGGATGGAGTGATGACTTCTGAGCTCCTTACAAGCGGAACCTGAAACTGGAAGTCTCTGCATCTTAATTTATCACAATCTCTGTCAGATTAATGCTAACTTAATTTCAATAAAATACAGATATTTTGCTCTAATAAGCTTTATTTCTTCTCTCCTCCTTTGGGTTATTACTGTCATACATATTATGTCCATATAAGGTGTAAATCCAATGATAGTGTGTTATAATTTTTACTTTATATAATTTATGTCTTTTTTAAAAGAATGAAGAGGAGAAAGGGAGAAAATGCATTTATAGACTCTTTTCTGTTAATCCAAATATTTACCATTTCCAGTGCTCCCCGAGTGGATCTGTGTTACCGTCTGGTGTCATTTCTTTTCTCCAAAGTGGCTCCATTCCCATCCCCCTTCTTTGTTCTTTTATTATTATATATGTCATAACTTTATTGACTACAAGCCTGATAATGCAATTTGAAATTTATGGTTTTATTGCAATTTTCTTTTAAATCAATTAAGAAAATAAAATAAATGTGTCTATTTCCTTTTCTATTTAATTATATAATTTCCTTCACATGGACTCTATTTCTTTATATGCATTCAGATTACTATCTGATATCATTTCCTTTCATCCTGAGGAAATTCCTTTAAGTATTATTTGTGAGACAGATCTTCTAGCAATCTATTTTGTCAATTTGAATGTATATGGAAGTGACTTTGTTATGCCTTCTGAGGGGAATGTTTTCCTTAGCAGCTTCTAGCGTAGGCAAAGGATTAATGGGGACAGAATAGATGTGTCCCTGATTGTGAAGAACATCACAGGCACTGAGATGTAGACGGGCACCACAGCTGAGTGATGGGGAGCAAGAAGGTCCAGTCCTAATTTTCACTTACTTGGAAAGAATTTGAACCGTGTATGAGTTTGCTAGGGCTCCCGGAGGAAAGTACCACAAACTGGGTAGTTTAAAAATCAGAAATAAGTTGTCTCACAGTCCTGGAGACTAGAAGTCCAAAACAAAGTGTCAGAGGCGTTATTTCCCTCTGAGGGCTGTGAGGGAGGAATGTGTTCCAGGCCTCTCTCCTGGCCTTGGAGATGCATTACTCTGACCTCTGCCTTCATGTTCACCTGGTATGAACAAATTTCCCCCTCTTATAAGGATACAAATCATATCGGATTAGGGTCCACCCTAAAGACCTGATTTTAACTTGTTTCCTTCTGTAAAGACCCTATCTTCACATAAGGTCACGTTCTGAAGTTCTAGGGGTTACTTCTGCAACATATAAATTTGTGCATATGTGTGACCGGGGGACACAATTCAACCCATAACAAACAGTATGTGTTTTTCTTTTAAATAGAGTCTGTTACTATTTGCTTTTTAAATTCAACTTTTACAGCATTCCTCCTACAGTACAGGTGAAATGCAGAATTGCGGAGCCTGTCATTTTGATCAAGTCTTGTCTCCTCTTGTCAATGTCTAAACCCCAGCAGAGCTCCCAAGTCCCTCTCTCAAGCTGACTAAATGAATGTCCTTGACTGGAAGAAAATGCGGGAATTTAGATTTGTCAACTTGTAAAGAGGAAAGTCTTCCTTAGCCGGCTTAGACTAGACAATATAAAAATAAAAATATCCCTGATTACAGTTGAATAAATGAATTTCAAAGATACAATATATTTGGAGGAAGTATATCCAATATATAATAGATAAAATTATATTCATATTATTAAAAGAATTTTTATCAATAAATGAGAAAAAGACAATCTGTTAAAGTGCCAACACACAGAGCAAGTTGTTCAACTGCCCTAAGAATCAGGAACACGCAAATGAAAACACCAATAAAATACTTTCAAGTTATCTACAAGCTAAAAGAGATAATAGTGTTAACCAAGATGCAGGAAAATAGGTTTCCCATACCATGTTGGTGGCAGTGTGGATTTTTAGAACTGTTTTGTAAGGCAATTTTTCAATATCAATAAAAGTATACGGAGCAGGGCCAGTGGCCCAGCGGTTAAGTGCACACGTTCTGCTTTGGCGGCCTGGGGCTCGCAGGTTCAGATCCCGGGTGCGGCCATGGCACTGCTTGGCAAGCCATGCTGTGGTAGACGTCCCACATATAAAGCAGAGGAAGATGGGCAAGGACGTTACCTCAGGGTCAGTCTTCCTCAGCAAAGAGGAGGATTGGTAGCAGATGTTAGCTCAGGGCTAATCTTCCTCAAAATAAATAAATAAATAAATAAAAATATAAATTAGGCATGTCCTTTGACACAGCAATTTCACTTCTATAAATCATGAGAAATATATACATATTTATTTTAAAAGATACAAATTTATATATGTTTTATGTATAAATATAAACATATATACATATATATGTATATATATGTCGATTTATGATTCTGGTTATGATTGCTAACAGAAGTAAAAAATTTAAATATTAATAGATGAGCAAGTTAATTAAATTATTATACAGGCATACCATAAAGCTCACATGTGTGTGCGTGTGGGTGTGTATGAGTGCATCTCAAAAACACATTTTTAAATAAAAAAGTAAAAACAAGTTGCAGAAAATGCACATGATATGATCTAATTTATGTAAAAAAATTGGGTAGATCTTTCCGTGAGTATCTATGTAAATGAAAAGGAGCAGGATTCGCAGGACATACTCCAAACGGTGAAAATGGGTTACTATAGGAATTGAAGAGGAGGTGGAATGAAGGTGGGGAGAGTCAATTTTGTGCTTTCAGGTTTTACTCTACATATTTATGTAATATCTCAAGTCTTTTACATGAGAAAGGATGTGTGTATTTTTTGTGTAATAATAAAAATGTCAACATAAACTTAAAAAAATGAAATTAACATACACACATCTGTCCCTTTTTTACTCCTTCCCTCAAATCTTCTATATCCCAAGTGTATCTGCTACAGACAAGCAACAAAGAAAATTTAAAATTTTTCTAAAGGGCAAATGAATCAGTTTCTAAAATTCGTTTCAATTTTTGAGAGGTTGGAAGGACTAACATGATGTAATATCAAGAGCCTGGACGCTTCCCTGGGTCCAAAGGAAGAAAATCTTTGGGACAACCCAATGGTTGTTCTCACCTTTTTTAGTGAGACCTACAAAGAAAGCAACACTGGATTAAAACAAAGAGCCATGGCAAATTCTCATTTCCTTTCTCCTTTATCGCAGGATTTCAACTGTGATTCTTAATTTCCTCACAAGCTTCTCAGTTTCTCCAATAATGTAAACTCTTCTTCCTCATCCTCTTTGTTCCTTTCATTCCTCCTTGATTTCCTCACTATCTTCTCTTTATTCCTTTTCTTAGTTTCCACCCTTACATTTCTTCTTCTCTTGGGCTTCTGCTCATTCCAGTGCAGTGGCCTCTTGATGGCTGCTGCTGCTTCCCTTCCTCCACCAGGGAGATCTTGCACAGGTGCAGCCCCATCTGTCCCAATGTGCCTCTCTCAGCATGCAGTAGTACACAGCGGTGTCTCTCAGGGTGACCTGGGGCAGGATCAAGGTACTGGACTTCCTGTCTGTTGTGATGGTCAAAGAGGCCATTCCATTGGTCTCAGTGCTTTTTAGACCATGAATCACATACTCTGGACCCTGGTAGGGAATCTGTCGATACCAATAGATGTACTCACTTCCACCGATTGTGGAATGGTTACAGGGCAGGTGCACAGTTTCTTTTTCAGTACTCTCCATTGCATTTGGCTGGATGGTCTTGGCATCACCGACAATACCTGAGGGATTGAGAAACACTAGATTAGCTCTGGATTGTCAAATCTGGGTGCATCTAATTTCAGGTTCACAAGCACTCCCAGAACTCCTCTCTCAAATCATACCCCATACTTGAGTGTTTTCATGTTTGTTGCACAGGACAAGAAAAATATTACTGGTATTTATTCTTGAGCTATCCAGAGCCACAAGGCCAAAGATAAATTGCTGTCTTCCGTGATCCTTGGGCTCAATAAACACAAAACTCCTTACAGCCCAAAAGCTGTGAGACTTGGTGACTTCTTTGAGTAGTGGATACCATCAGCCTCTCAAGTGATGCTTGGACTCTCTAGAGAAACACATAGACACATAGAAACACGGAGATGCAAATTCTTTCCAGTAGTTTGGCAAAGTACAGTGGGAGAAGGTGAAGCCGCAGATATCTGTCCTTTGTCTTTAGCCACAAAGATCATCCTTTCTTAAACCCAAATCACTTACCAAAAGTTAGGAGAATAGTTATTCCTGTGACTGATGTCATAGTTCAAGTGAAATCTGGGGTTCCAGGCCTCAGAGCTCAGAATCTGCTCTGATCCTCGGTTGAGGGAGGTCCCAAGCAACAACACAGCAGCCACTAGCGGAGCCCCACACCAGGTAACTTTCAGTTTGGGAGTTCTCTAGTCAAGCATCAGCTAAAGACCAAGCAGTCTCTTGGTTGGGTCTACTCCCACCCCGGGATTAAACATAAACTTAAAAAGAGGGTAATGGTATTTTCCCAATGTCTAGCCCCAATTCAGAAGGTTTACACTGAGATCATTTTCAAGGCTCAAACTCAAATAGTCTATGTCTGAAAGAGTCAAATCATCCACGAGGCGATTACTCATTCCTCATTTGTGGTACAAGGCAAAACCCAACACTAAGTGGTGCTTTGATGCTACACGGCGTTGATATTAACTGTCCTTTAATTCAGGAAAACTTTGTTGAGCCCAGGGTTCTAAATGGAAGAAGAGAATTCCTATCCATATTCCCAGCCAGAGCAAGTAAGTCTCAGGAGCAGTAACATATAATTTAACTTAGAAACTATCTTCTTTTATTTTTTTTAAAGGTTGGAAAAGGAGCTAACAGCTGTCACCAATCTCCTTCTCTTTTTTTTCCTGCTTTTTCTCCCCAAATCCCGCCAGTACATGGTTGTATATTTTAGTTGTGGGTCCTTATAGTTGTGGCATGTGGGACGCCGCCTCAGCATGGCCTAATGAGCTATGCCATGTCCACACCCAGGATCCAAACCTGTGAAACCCTGAGCCGCCAAAATGAAGTGCGTGAACTTAACCATTCGGCCACGGGGCTGGCTCTAGAAACTATCTTTTGATTAAAAAAAAAAAATGATCATAACCTAAGCTAAAAATCCAACGACACTGTGGAAGAAAATATTTGCAACACATATGACAAAAATAGCTTCATAGTTGTATAATATTGCTGTGCTTAGTATGATGGGAAAAGATAAAATTAAAACCCCATCTAAAAGCCAAGTCACCTCGTATTCAGGTCTCCCACATGGACTCCTGAAATGATGTCTTAAGAATCTTCTAAATGGACATATTGGATGCCTCTGGTCTTGCTGCAGGAGTCAATGACTTGAATGGTACTTACTCCTATTCCACTTGAGTCTCTCTTTGACACGCATTGTCTCATCTCATGCCAATGTCTAGGGGCGGCATGCATTGAGGACACTAAGGAGAAAAAGGGAGAGGCAAGAGATGGGAAGAGAAAATATGGAAAGGGAAATGAAATGAAGCCATTTTACAAGAGAGGTGGAAATAAACATGAAGGAATTTCTTTGGTTATTCTCAAAAGTGGTTATTATTAACAAGATGGTATAGAATAAAATTATAATGAATCATTCTTCTCTGCTACAATAACTAAGCTTATTACTCCACCATAGGAGTAAATATTTGGCCATTTAAAATTAAACTATTAATCACCTGTGTCTTTTCTTCCCATGGGGGGTCAGCTCTTTGTTCTGCTTTGGGAAAGGGCTTATCCATGTCCTTGAAGCTGTGCATAGACTCAGTGTGAGATTACAAAGTACATGTTGAGAAAGGGGGTGAAAGTAAGTTCTTTGCACAACAATGACAACCTCTCCCTCACCCAGGAAAGAGCTTCAGTTCGCAGCTCTAACAGCCCCCTCTTGTGACTGTACTTATGAACTCCTTCACTAAGAACCAGAAACCAAGTCAGTCAACCATCTTTCACGGGTTTTGTGTCAGGTCTGAGGATAGATGTCTCAAATTTGCTACCTCCCTCTAGTGGCAAGGCTTGGTGAAGAGCTTCCTGCAGCAATACTCTACGATTAAAAATTAAATTGTGTTCAGTTACTTGGAGATTTTAGAATTATTTCTGTGAGAACAAATCACTCAATAAAATTCCTTTTATTTTCCTTATTATCTTGTACTTCCCAAGTTTGAAGGCATTTCCCAAAGCCCACATTATTCACTGTTTAACATAGAATTTGGCACAGACTAAGCACTTAATAATAATGTGTTGGGTGAATGTATTAATTAATATTTGCTGTGAGAAGTTATATGGAATGACTTGAATTTATTCTGTGTAAAAGCTTCTAATTTTCTGGAAAACAAATTGAACAAAAGTATCCAGCAGTGAAGGAAAATGCAAGATTAGACCAGTGGACAAAATTCAAATAGACAGCACACCAACTCTCACCTCCCTTCCTCTAAAAAAAGATTCACAAATCTGGAATAGAGAGAGCCTGGTTATGATAATATGGCGGTCTATGGCATAGTGGTCATGTAGTCATAATTAATTTAATAAGTATTCAATGTGCATCTATTATTGCCAGATTATAAAGTAACAATAGTAATTCAAGACTGGAATAAATATATAAATGAAAGAAATACTGGGATTCCTAAAAGAAATACGAAAAGCAAGAGTCATTATGCCCTCTAGTTACATAACGCAACAGTGAGACCAACAATACGACTGTCTAGTGTTCATTACTGCAGTGTTTGGATGGTGAGGAGCATCCAGTCTGACTCCAGAGAATAATAAATACTGTGGCACTTTTTGGTTTTGTTTGTTTGTATATAACAGCTTCATTGAGATATAATTCACACACCATACAATTCACCCATTTAAAGCATACAATTCAATGGTTTTTAGTATATTCACAGAGTTGTGCAACCACCACCATAATCGACGTTAGAGCATTTCATGATCCCCAAAAGGAACATGTACCTTTAGCAGTCACTTATCATTTCCCCACATGAAACTCCTTCTAGGCGACCACTAATCCACTTTGTCTCTGTCTTAGTGCACTCGGTTTGCTGGAACAAATTACCACAGACTGGGTAGCTTATAAACAGAAATTTACCTCTCACAGTTCTGGAGGCTAGAAAATCCAGGATCAACAAGGACAGATTTGATGCTTAGTGAGGGCTCACTTTTGGGTTTATAGATGGTGCCTTCCTGCTGTGTCCTCACGTGGTAGAAGGGGCAAGGGATCACTCTGGAGCCTCTTATAAAATCATTAATCCCAAATGCCCCACCTATTCATATGGTCACCTTTGGAAGTTAGGATTCAACTTATGAATTTTGGGGGAACACAAACATTCAGACCATAGCAGTCTCTATATATTTTCTCATTCTGAACATTTCATATAAGGGAATGATACAATATGCGGCTTCTTGGATGCAGTTTTTTTCACTTACCGTAATGTTTTCAAGGTTCATCCATGTTGTTGCATGTGTCAGTTCTTCGTTACTTTTTATTGCCTGATAATGTTCCATTGTATGGATATAGCGTATTTCATTTGTCAGTTCAACAGTTGATGGACATTTGGGTTGTTTCCACTTTTTGGTTATGAACATTCATAGTAAGCTTATGTGTGGACATATGTTTTCATTGCTCTTGGGTATTTGCCCAGGAGTAGAATTGCTGGATAATATGATACCTCTATGTTTAATGGTTTCAGCAACTTTCAGACTATTTCTCAAAGTGGCTGCACCATTTTATACACTCATGAAAGTAACAGAAGATTCAATTTCTTTACATTCTCACCAACACTTTTTGATTTTCTTTTTTGATTAAGCCATCTTACTGGCTGTGAATTAGTATTTTCTTGTTGTTTTGATTAGTATTTCCTTGATAGCTACCGGTGTTCAGCATGTTTTCACGTGCTTATGGGCCATTTGCATATCTTCTTTGGAGAAAATCTACTGACATATTTGGTTCATTTAAAATGAATTTCGACTTTTTATTGTTGAGCTGTGAGAGTTCTTTATCTGTTCTAGATATAAGTCCCTTATTAGACATATGATTTGCAAATATTTTCTCCATTTTGTGGGCCGTCTTTTCACTTTCTTGATTGTGTTCTTTGAAGCACAGAAGTTTTAATTTTGATGAAATCCAGTTCATCCATTTTATCTTTTGTCACTTGTGCTTTTGGTGTCGTATCTAAGAAGGCTTTGCCTAACTCAATGTCATGACGATTTACTTCTATGTTTCTTCTAAGAGTTTTGTAGTTTTAGATCTTTTATTTTGATATTTGATTCATTTTGAGTTAATTTTTCATCATGCTATAAAGAAGGAGTACAACTTTATTCTTTTATATGTGGCTCTGCAGTTGTTGAAAACCCTATTCTTTCTCCTTCTCAAAAATCAATTGACAATAAATGTACACATTTATCTTGCAGCACTAAATTCTATTCCATTGATCTATATGTCTATCCCTACTGAATCGTTAAGTATGAACAGCTTCAAATTGAAGTCAGTGCTAAGCAATTTTCCTAAGTATTACTATGAATTTGCAACCTTGGTTGTAGCCTATGAGAGTGTCAGCTAACCATTTTCTGCAGTACTTGGACTGTCTTTCTTTTTAAGTTTAGACTTTCTGGTTAATGTATAGCAATATCTTGCTGTTTTTATTGTTTCCTTTGTTTTTAAATCAATATTATTGAGGCATAAATTATACACAGTACCATGAATGTATTTTAAGTGTTTTGAAATATAGTGAGTTTTGAAATATAGACTTAGATAACTATTGTCTAAATCAAGATATTGAACAGTTATTTCACCCAAAATATTCCTTGGTGCCCTCTTACCAATCAATCTTCCCCAATTCCAGAACCCTGACAACCACTGACCTGCTTTCTCTTGATGTAAATTAAATTTGTCTTTTCTAGAATTTCAAATAAATGGAAACATAACGTGTAAACTCTGTTCATCTAGCTCCTTTTTCTCAGGATAATGTTTTGAGATTGCATCAATGTTACTCTGTATATAAGTATTTCATCTCTTTATTACTGAGTAGCATTCAATTCACTTGTTGATAAACATTTGGGTTATTTCCAGTTCTGCACTATTATGAAAAAGCTGCTATGAATATTTGAGTTCAAATATTTCTGTGAACATATTTTTTTATTTCTTTTAGGTAAAAAAAGATGTGCAATTCTTAGATTATATGGTACCTGTATGTTTCACCTTATAAGAAAATGCTAAAACATTTTTCCAAGTTGTGACACAGTTTTACATTCATAGCAACAACATAATAAGGCTGTAAGAATTGCAACTGCTGGGGCCGGCCCGGTGGGGCAGCGGTTAAGTTCACACGTTCCACTTCAGCGGCCTGGGGTTCGCTGGTTCAGATCTCCGGTGCAGACATGGAACCACTTGGCACACCTGCTGTGGTAGGCG